TTATTGCTGGTGTCAGACATGTGATCCTGAAATAGCTATTCAGAAATTGTCAAACTCAAGTGGAAATGAAGAAGTTGATAATTGTATTACGGGATTTCAGCGCGAATCCAAAACGTATGATGAGATGATTGAATGGATCCCATTTAATAGATTGATAGATGTTAAGCATATTGCCAAAGGAGGTTTTGGGTCAGTATTTTCAGCAATTTGGTCAGATGGCATACGAATAACTGAATATGATTATGAAAACGATAAATACATAAGGTCACGTAAAAAATCATCTACAGTTGTGCTTAAGACCTTGCCTAATTCTCAAGATCTTTCAGAGTGTTTAAGAGAAGTAAGCTAAAATTATTTTTATCATAACGTAGGCAATTAAAAAATAAAACAAATATATTAATGTAAATTCGTTTAATTAGTTTAAAAATCATATGCAGTGTAGATTAATGGGTAGTGAATTAAAAATATATGGATTAACTAAATGTACAAAAAATAATGAGCCTTTTAAGCTTGAGAATGGTGATTATCTGATGGTACTTCAATTTGCTGATAATGGAAGCCTTAACACATTTTTAAAAAATGAATTTAAAGAACTTACATGGGAACGTAAATTATCACAGCTTATTGATATATCCTATGATTTAGTCAAAATTCACAAAGCAGGGTATACTCATAGTGACTTTCATAGCGGAAATATTTTGCAAAATAAAATTGGCTCAATTGTAGTTTCTTATATTGCAGATCTTGGGTTAGCTAAGAAAAATGAAGGGCAAGTTCAAACGGATAAAATTTATGGAGTTATGCCTTATGTTGCACCTGAAGTTTTGCAAGGTGAAAAATTTACACCAGCAGCTGATATTTATGGACTAGGTATTATTATGGCAGAAATGTCATCTGGGCAAAGACCTTTTGATGGGCATGAATTCAATAAAGACCTTCAATTGAAGATTATTAATGGATTACGGCCAGAATTTGCATCTGGAACTCCTGATTGTTACATCAGATTAGCTAAAAAATGTATTGACCAAGATCCACAGAAACGACCTACTGCAAACGAAATTTATTTAAGACTTTATCATCTTTGGAGTTATATTCGTTATAGTAATCAAATTGATAAACTTCATATAAAAGAACAATTAATGACTGCTGATAAAATTATTAAAACATTACCAGATATCATACGACACCATCCAGATTCAATGTATACTAGTAGCATTATTATTACAAAAGAGCTATTTAGAGGTATAGAATAATTTATAATATTTAGGTTTATTTAGATGCATTTAAATTAATTAATTATATTAATAATGTATAAACTTTTTAGATCAACCAAAAAGAACATATTCTAACAATTTACTTTCAGAAGAATTTAAGTCTGTTAATATAGATTAGCCAATTAAATTAAAGTTATGTTTATTATATTTTAGTTTGTATATTTATATATATTCAAATTGGTATTTATATTTTATTTTGTAAATTATTATTTAACATAAATAAAAATTATTTCTAAATAAATAAATAGAATAATAAACTACTTTTTTATTACAATAACATTAAAGCTATCTTTTAAATTTATTAAAAAAAATCAAACCTGTTTTATAAAGTTTATTTTTAATTACTTGGTAAAAAAATTATTAAAACTAAATCTTGAATTTTACTAAAACGCACCTATGGTGTTTTACACCTATGCACGCATTATCTCAAAAACTGGCTAATTAATCAGTACAAGGTGTTTTAAGTAAAAATTTTCTACGCCTCTGAAAACCCTTCCCAAAACCTAATACTAACTTAAAAACTAATCCTAACGTGAAAAAATTTAAGTCAAAAATTTCTATAACAAAACTTATAAAAACTTAGAAAATTTAAAAAAACATATAATAGGTGTAAAACACCATAGACGCGTTTTATAATAATTGTTAAATCTTTGTTAGAAAATTACTTTCTAGTTTTTGTTATACAAATTTTTTTATTTATAAAATTTAATAAAATCTATTTTTTTAAAAAAAAGCTTTAATAAAAATTGATATATAAATATTTTAAATTTGTTATAGTAAATTCATTTCATAAAATTATATAAATAACCAAATTAGCAGGGCTAAACTTTATTATATAACCCTTAGCATTATAAAACTAAATGAATTTTTAATATAATAACTATACCTTGTTATCAAAATTTAGATTAACAATGCGTTACAAATTTTTTTATTGCAATGAGCTGCTTCATAAATTTGGGTAATTTCAGAAATAAGCTCAGTTATTCCTGATATCAAGGAACCAAAAGGTGTTGCATTGGCGACCACATTGATAGCTCTGAGTGTTCCTTTTGTAATATCTCGACCTGAAACTTTAATCTGTGACATTATAAATAAGAATTTCAAATTCTAAAATCAAAAGAATTGGCGATGAAATGTTTGTAAAAAAGGTTAAATTACTTTCATGTAACAGTGACGCACATAAATGCTGCAACCTAACTCGGAAACACATGGACAAGCCGCAGCCATTTATTTTTTTATACAGTATAGCAATAGTGTTTATCAACATATTTTTCGAGTGAAAAAAAATAATAAATTTTTATCTGCTTTTTCTGCAGTCATTTGAAAATCTTTAAGCGGAAATAAATTATTAAATAATGATTTTAAGCAAGTTCGTAATATTAAAATACTGTTAAGTGCATAATAAATGTCATTGCAATTCATAGACGAAAGTTATTTGAATACATCTCATAATTTGTCAGTTCAATGGTACTCAAAATACAGCAACAATCTAGAATAGTAAAGAAATCTAAATCTTGTGCTCACACGCCTTTAACCGTTTATTTATATTATACGGCTAAACGAGTAAAACTTAATATAAGTGAGCGTAAGAAAGTAACAGATAAAAAAAAAATAGATAATAGAGAAATACAGTATATCAGATATTATAGTATATCATATACTATGTTGTCAATAAAATATGTTGTTCATTTTTTTCATTAAATTCTACACTTACTCTGTTGATTTAAGACGTAACATAAGTGAGTAATATATATAAAAAAAAACGGGAATAGTTAATAGAAGTATACAACATATTGGATATGTTCATTAAATTCTACAACAATTGATAATTACCGCCTATTAACTTCATTGCTAGCATTTAATGCCCATTTATCACGGTTTATTTTTAATAGTTTTTTTTAGTTCGCGTCCGATTCTTCATATTTACTCAAAATAAAATTGGTTTCTCCGTGATATCTTAACTCGAATGCATTTTTTTGTTCAATTCAAGTAATTTATTTAAATCTTCAAGCGCCTTCTCATAATTTCTCATAATAAAATAAGCCTTTGTACAATAACTTAACTTATATTTTCAACTATGTAATTATCTTCATCGTCGCATTGTTTAAGAGCTTTAATCCATTTTACTTTTCAATCGCTCATCATTAATATCATCATTAGGCATTGCTATTCATGAAAGTAATATTAAAAAGGTTAGACATATAAATATTCTATTCTAACAATTTTAAATAAATATATACCTATATATTTAAACTTTCTATTTCCAAAGTTCCCCTCTAGGTAAGATACCATATACTATGTGAGTGACGAAAAGGGAAAACCTGTAAATCATTTCACTCATTGAGTGAGATGATTTACAGTTTTCCCTTTTCGTTACTCATATTATCAAAAAAAGCAATCAAAACATAAGAATTTTTCAGATTAAAGTGAGTGATTGTTTATATTTATTAGCAAATACATAATCATTCTATATAATATGCACGCAGTCTAAAGACTTCAGATTTTTTAAATTGCATCTTCTCTATAAAAAAAAAATTAAAGTTGCAAAACAATACGTCGATTTGCCAGTTTATAATTTAAAACAGAATAGGTAAACAGAAAGGTAACTTTGAATTAAGAGTGCACTTTTATAGCAAACTCGATAATTATATATTTATATCTTTTACAGTATTAAATTTCTTGCAAACCGAATTTTTGATTGTTTTACCAGGAACGGTGGGGTGGTCGGTCAACTAATAAAATCACTCCACACAGCACTTGTTTTCCCCTTTTTGGGAGCTATGCCGGCAGTTAATTTAGGCCGGGTGATTTTTTTTAAGAAATTAACAGAGTACATGATAGAGAAATGAGCAATTGGCTGAGTTGGCCAGAACGGCACAGACTACCTGCGAAATGAGCAATCGTAATTGCACTGGGAGTCGCCGTGAGAGCAGCCGGTGGTTTCCCGCTCGCTGAAGCAAGCCGGCTGTGAGTGACGAAATGATAGAATCACGTGTTCCAAGTTTTTTTTTTTTTGGATTCTATCATTGAAGGCACGATTTTATTTATTTATTTTGCATATGACAGTGAGACCGAACTTCGCTCCAAATGTTTGTTATGTCGAGAAGGTCGATTGTTATATGCATTGCTTGTTTTACTATGTGACTCCTTCTTTTCTCTCACTTTTCTTTTTTTTTTTTTTTTGATTGTAATTTTTATTGTTGTGACTTTAACTGTGACTTCTGATTTAACTATTTATTACCTGTATATATATATCGATATATCATTTATTGTTATTATACATATACATATATATTTTCTTTATTGTGAGTATGCTTTAATAAGAATATGAGCTATCATTATTGGATGTGCTCGAATGTATCTATAAAATGTATCAGAATCCCATCGATCTATTTTTTGTATCATAACAGGTTGAACTCCACGCATTACCAGCTCTGTTGTTCCACCTGCTCTGAAGCTGTGACCAGCGATATTGGAGTTAGGTAGGATCGATTTGAGTTTGTTACTAAACCATTTCTTGGTGAACCAGGAGCCATTCACTCTTATAAACATTAGATCCTTCTCTGATGCAAATGATGTATCAGTGCATCGAATAATGTATGCTTTTAGTGCTTTGATAGGGCAGAGGTTGTCTCCAGTCGGGTTTATTACTAATGAGATCCTGTTTGCTGACTTGTGGTTTTTGGTGCTGACAAGTTGTATTGTTGCAAATGTTGCAGAGTCAATTTTTTCGAATCTTAGAGCTTTTAGAGTAGGTACTTTGTTTTGTCTGTTTTGCTATTTGGGATCAGTTCACCAAGACATGCTAGACCATAGAATGCTGTTATTACTACTGCCCAAAATAATAAGTCATCTGATTTCTTAAAGTTTAAGCTCTTCTTTATATGTCTAAGATGGGTTCTTGTAATATCTAATATGTCTTTTTTGATTTACTGGTTTGTGATGATGGTTTGCTTCAATAATTTAAGAATTTGTCTTATCAGTAGGTCTTCTCTTATTGGTGTCCAATCATAAGAATTCATTACATGATAGTTTTTTAATGTAACTGGAGATATATTTCTATGTATTGTTGTGATGAATTTTACTAGTGACTCCCTTGATATAGGCTATATGCTTTCATTTTATTTTCCTATTTATGTTTTATTACTAGTATTTGGTACCTTTTTATTACTGTTTCATAGGTTTTATGTTTTGGAAAATCCATTTTTAAAATATTTGCTGCCTTTTTGTTTAGTGGAACCTTGCTATGCCATTCTGATGTAATTAGTTGGTTTTTATATAAGACATTAGTACCTGATTCTTTTGTTATTTTAAGTCTTTTCCATTTCATATTTTTCAGTTCTACTGCATTAAGAATGGGATAATAGAAATTGTATTAGTATATTCTATTGAAATATTGGGTTGGAGATATTGTGTCAAGAGTTTCCTGATTAAAAATTCTCTATGTCCACCTCTGAATAACAAGTCTGCATTACTATTTAGTTTGCCTGATATGTGTTCTAATTTAATTGAGAAATTCTTTTATATCTGAATTTTATAAATAAGAGCAATGATTTTGTTTATTCTTTTATTTTTACAGAAACTAGCATAGAATGCTTCTGTATTTGTTAGATTGTTAGTCCATACTATCAATTTCTTCTGAGTTCAAAGAGAAGCAAATGTAAGAATTGCTATTAGAGTTGTAATCAACTCTCATTCTTGAATATCATAATGAGTTGTAGTCATATTATTGGATCATATAAACACAATAAAGTAGTTCTCAAATGTTGTTTCTCTTCCAATATTAGATGCATCTAAATACAGATTATTTATATTAGATTGTTATTATATTTGATCTTCTATTAGATAGGTTTCAGGCCAGTGCTTTATTATTTTATATTATCAGCAAATGTTAGCTAACATTGGAATGGTCAGTCTGATATGATGTTTTGAATTTCTAGATAATTTTTGAGTTTTATAAATTGCTATACAAATGGTCTTCCCTGAGGCACCACTTGGCATAGTCACATTAAGGATTCTACTAATGATTGGAGATCTCTTTTATAACACCATTTCTTGGATGATCATTTTGCTAATAATTTTCTTATTTTTTGTTTCTTTTGTTGTGAAATAGAGACTGTCATTGTTATTATATTAATTAGTATACCTAAAAATGTTATCTCTGTACTGGGTCCTTCTAGTTTTAATTCTTTGAATAGTACTTTTATTAACTCTAATATTTACAAGAATTATTGTAGTTCCTTCTGACCATCTGATTTAGATATTATTAAAAAATCATTGTCATAGTAGATAATTAATTTAATGCCTTGTTGTATAGTTATCCATATAATTGTATTTGCAAATCTGCAAAAAATACCACCTGAAGCTCTGTTACTAAAGGCTAATGTCTTGTTAAATTAAAACTTTTCATTGTAATTCATGCCCTGCAGCACTTGATTAACTGGGTGCACAAATAGTATTTGATATGCATCTTGTATATCTATCTTTAACATTGTGCAACTTTTATTATACCAATTGATCCATCTTATTGCATAGGTTACATTTTCATATTTTGTTGCAAATTCTATAATGTTAATTTCATAATTTACACTATATCCAAAAGGAGCAGAGTAGGCGTATAACCTCCTTGTGCAATGTAAAAGTACCAAATCGGGTTCTGATCATACCTATATGGAAGTCTATAATGAACAAGACTTGGGATCAACCAACCAATGTGAGATAAGTTCTGCAAGGTAGTATGGCATCACTGGAGTCGGTGTAACTCCCTAGGCATAACCAGAATTGTCCTGCAGATATTGTCGAATAAGCTGGGAACTTGCAATATATAGTAGTATGGTATTACTAGGGTCAGAGGAACTCCCTAGGTATAACCAGAATTGTCTTGTTTGTAAGTGCAATAAGTCCCAGTCTCTACTATAAAAGAAAGCACCATGTTAGAGGTTAAATGCAGCATCGAGTTACTGTATGACATTAAGACCTGGGTATTTGCAAGAACGATGGCAGCAGGTTTGACTTAAGATACGGATTAGTTAAAAAGACCAATGGCGGTAGCAAATCTGGCTTAAGATACGGGTTTATTGTAGATCCTGAACCATTGTCAAAACACCTTAAGGAAATCAATAACAGGCAAACCAAAGATGGGAAGATTATAAGGATCAGACATACCCGAGTAGGATCAATTTGAAAGTGATACAGTAACAAAAAGGTGGGAAATGTGGGGAACAAGG